TTTTTTATTAATAAACCAGATCTTTTGTTTAATTTTAAATAATTATTCATTTATATAAATTTATCGAAATGCGTGGTAAATATACTTGTGAATATATACACAACTCTGGAGAAGTTTATGGACGAGGATGTCGTAAACCTGAGGGGTGTCATGAGCACTGGAGGGCTAAAAAATGTGTTTTCTGTTCAGGTTGTGGAAAGCCTAATGCTTCTGGACCTGGAACATGTAAAAAACATGCTAAAGGATATTATGTTATGCAGTTTTATGCTCGAAAACTCCGTGAAGCAGAGCACTCTATGTCTGAGCTAGCATAAATTATGTCTCATAGAGATGTCTTCGGACTTGTTGTCATTTTGTTTTCCATTTTTTATACCGAAATTGTCCTAAAAATTTGTTATATATTTTTATTATCCTTTTTACTATTAAAAAACTTGTAGAACACAATAGGTTCGTTTTGTTTGGCAAAAATAAAAAACTAATTGTAAGGTAAATAGATAACTAATATTTCGTATTTTTTGCTATCCCAAAAACCTTCCAGGTGGGGATAGATGCTTCACTATGTTCCGCATCAGGACCTTCCAGGTGGGTCTATAACTAAGACCAAAAAACATCAAAGAGACGTGGGAAAATAATATTATTAAATTTAAACTTGTTAGTGAGGAGGTAAAAAATACATCAAATAACGTGCTAGAAAAAAATATTTTTACTATCTATCTTATTATTAGAAAGTTTATAGAATACTAAATAGAAAACTAATGCTCCACTACGCTCTGCAACTGTTTCACATTCACCCTAAAGGTTCATGCTCACAGAGACAGAAAGCTAAATGCTAACTAAAAAGATAACTATGCTCCGCTACGCTCCGCAACTGTGTCGCACACACCCTTGTGAGTATGCTCCACAGAAATAGAAAGCTAAATAGTAATCAAATAAGATAACAAAAAATACACGATTTTTGTAATATACGTAAAAAATACACCACATATATGATTTATATAAGTTATTGGAAATCATAATAAAACATTAGAAATCTATAGAAAATGATTAGAGTTAACCAAAAATACACGTAAATTGTCCTAAAAAGCCCACTAATATAATACT